CATCCACGGTCTCAGTTTAGAGGTGGATGATGGTGGGATGGAACTGTTTTTAGGGATGAATGGATCTATTCCAAAGGTTATAAGGGCGTCCATGATCTCTTAAAGGTCAGCAAAGTCCCTGTTTGTTGATATACTAAATAGGCTCCTCCCGTGAGTCTCAGTGGGATTTAGTGCAGGTTCTTTATTTTGGACACCCTGCAAACACGTTCGGCCTTTTCAAACCATTCAACGATAGTCGGGCCCATGGGGAGTGTCATCAGATCGAAAAATTATTTTGGGAAAAAAAAAATTTTTTTGTCCATTTAAAAAAGCTTGAAGTGTGTAACTCAACAATTCAACTGGTGATAGCTTTTCTGTCTTGAAAACCGGTGCCCAACGTCCAACCTTCTCCATTAGCGAAAGCCTTCTTTTTAAAATAGCAAAAACGAGCCTTTTTTTTTTTTTGCGGACCGAATTGTCATTTGCACAATATAATCTGAGGCAACGTATTTCCGTTAACTGACCGAGACTACTCGGCATAAAAGGGGCGCCGCCATTTTGGTTTTCTTTTAAACAGTTGGAAGGACCAGTGTTTACATACTGAGATTCTAACGCGAAATGGGTTGGCCATTTTCACAATTTTCCCCACAGTTGTTTGTACAACTAGACATACTGACCTTCCTAAGGTGTGCAGCATTTGGTTAAATCACAATAATGATTGATCTATTAACAGAGGCAGGAGTAATTCAATTTCCAGTTTCTAAGATCAACAGTATTTTTAAGAAACTGTAATTTGCTTCATTTGCAGTTATGCCATTCTTCATTGTTTTCCTTAGTGCCATCAAACTAACCTGTGGAATTTGGTTTGGTTTGATTTATTTTGTTTTATGGCATATCAACCTCAATGGGTTATTTAATGCTGACAACATTTTTAGGATAGATTCGTATGAATACAATATGTATTCTTTGGTTTAGATTGGTTTGGTTTATTTTGTTTTACGGCATATCAACCTCAATGGGTTATTTAATGACAATGACATTTTTTTTTTGCTGGTAATATTTTGTTTTTTCAAAAATCTGTTTCTGGTAATATTTTTCCTTCAAAATTGTATTGCTGGTAATAATTTTTTAAAAAAAGTATTGCTGGTAATAGTTAACTATTTGCCCATAGCTGGGACCCTAACAGGTGCTACCACCCTCGGTCAGGGTGGACCTGGGAACACCAGTAATTAAGAGGTGGCCCAGAGAAAAAAAAGTTTGGGAACCACTGGCCTACACTGATAGTTATGTTTGGGGAAGCATCCTTGGGAAGATGATGTCTGAATGAACTGCCTCCTTACTAATGGAATACAATGGGAATGAGGATGTCTCACCCCTGTGTATATGGCATGACAGGTTTTAGTGATAAATGTCTGAACTGGTGGAATTAGGGAATATTTTCCCTGAAAATTGCAATGGAGTAACAAGAAGCTTGCGATGTTGCAGGAGAAAATAGCCAACCTCTGGCAATGGTACTATAATCCCTTTCAAAACTTGGGATATGACACACATCTATTCCATATTTCAGAACAATATCGTCTTTTGGGATTACCATCAGCTGCCTTACCACATTCTCTTTAATCTCATGCATAGTCATAATTCTTTTTTAGTGTTGATAACCAGAAGTTATAAAGAGTGAAATCTGGATTATTGGGAAGCTGACAGAATTTACTTATTTTTTTAATCATTTCACCACTAGCTAATGAGATAAAGCCTCTAAGATGCAAGGGGTTACTGAGAATGAAAGAAACTAAGAAAACCTTTTTTGAGGAGGAAGGCCAATAAAAGAGCAGGATTCAAAAGCACAGAGCATGAAAACTGACATTACATTTAAATTAAAGTTTGTAGTTGACAGGAAAGTAAGAAACTGGAAGAGAGTTCCACAAGCAAGAAGTGTGAGTGAGAGAAGAAACTATTAGAATAGAACCTACGGTTACATCTAGCAATTTCAACTGTAAAATGATGAGACATAACAGCCAATCTTGTTCTGAGTTTAAATTCATGAATTCAAGTTACCAAAGTGGAGAGTTCATCAGAACATTTGCTATGAAAATATTTATAAAAAAAAGCACAGGAAAGCTTCATTACAAATTAAATACTTATAAATTAGTTTTCATAATTGGCTTGAAACTTATTTTTGCTAATAGGTTCCTTGCTCTAAAAAGATTGTTTTAAAAAAAATATGATAAAAGACTTATTTGAAATTCTATTTTAACCCAAATGACACAGGATGAACTTGATAAAGGCATAAAAATATTAAAATAAGAAAAAAAAAAAACATGGTGGTCTTTAGTTTTTTCAAGCTGTCTGTTTAGAATGTTTTCAACAATTATGGAAAACCTAACAAAAAGATATTCAAATATTAATAAAGAAAGAAGATGAAAAGGAAAGCAAAATCAACCTACAAAAAAATTATTCAAAAGTTAGGGGCCTAATCTCCAGATATGCTGGCACCAACCAATACCCTCTCACCTTAGTGGAACAAGTGACCTGTATCTAAAGAAAAGATAAAAAGAATGTTTAGCTCCCAAGAAAATATTTGCAAATTAGCACAACTCTAACATTAGAATGAAACCAACAAACTGATAACAGTCTGACAAAGATATTGCAACCCCCTTCTCCATTTGAAAAAGACTGGGAACAGTGACCAACAGTGCTTACTGAAGTTGACACTATTAGCCAACATTTCTTCAAAAACTCAGATGGCACCCTGGTTATTCACTATCAATCTAGTTGTGGCTGCATGACTGATAACATTGCAGATTCTTCTTAGAATTTTGTCAAGAAAATCCCTAGATACATAGTAGAAACACCAGACCAGATGTAGAAAAAATATTCAATGCATGGATGAATGGTAAATTATAAAATTGCAAGATAGGGTTTTAACAGGGTTTGATATTAAGGTCTTCTCCAAAGTTATGGATCTCCAGACAAATTTTTGAATTGATCCAGTCTTTTCTATCAAATCATGAAATGAAAGTTATCCCGAATGGCCACTTATCTAGATGCCTTCATATTGATACCGGTGTCCCACATGGCTCCATATTTGATACTACTTTGTTTTTAATTTTCATTATTGCCCTTCCTGATGACCTCAGCTCTCAACTTGGTATCTATGACACAATCATTTACTCCTGTCTCAATAGTAGGCTGATAATTCGATAAGGTCAGAATGGCAGCTGATGTTCAAAACAACCTGAAGTCTTTTGTTAATTGGTGAAAAAGATGGCTTGTTAATTTTAACTCCTCCAAAACTAAACTTCTCTCCATTAATCATCTGAGAGACTCCTCTCTGCCTTCCATCAGCATGTCTAATGCTAACCTCCAGGAAAATGACTCGTTATGCCTTCTTGGGTTAATGTTCTCAGCTGACAAAGTGGAAAACTATATTGAATCCATTGCTAGGTCTGCTGCTAAGAAAGTTGGTTCACTGTGTCATGCAAGATAATTTTTCTCTCCAGAATCTATCATACATATCTATAAGTCTACCATTTGTTCATGCTTAGAATATTGCTGCCACGTATGGTTCAGTGCTCCTGCCATTTACCTTGAGCTCCTTGATAAAATCCAAAGAATCAGTCATATTATCGGCCCTGATCTGGTGGCATGGCTTCAGTCACTTTTCCACCGCTGTAAGGTTGCCTTCCTGTGTCTTTTCTATAAATATTCTTTGCTATGGTACCTAGACTTTATGAATATAAGCACTAACATCTAACATCCTGCTGCCAATGTCTTTACTGTAACTCTGGCAGAAGTGGCTTTTTGGTGCTATGCCATGCCTTGTCAAAGGGCCACTCATTTGGTTTGGAACTGTTTATTGCCATCCTTGCAGCTAACCTCATTACATGGCCATTTCCTCATCAACCACCTGGTAGAACTGGTCATCTCTCCAGTCTAGTTTAGGGTGAATCAATGTCTGTTTCCTTCCCTGATCATTTTTGTAAATGCCTACAGAGTCATTCCATGTCAGTTCAAGCAAGAAATGTAAACCAAAAAAAATTTTTTTTTTCCATTTTAATATATGTTGTAGATCTTATAGTCATTAGAAAATGTTGAAAATTTTAAGGGAAAATCCCTAACCATTCTCAAGATATCACAAGTTGAAATTTTACTGAATCAGCATTTTCCATTGATGGATATTTTCATTTTTGAAGTCAATGATCTCACAAAAACCTTTATATCTTATATATGAGATATGTGGACAGTTACTTTATGACAGTCAGCCTTATGTGTCTGTCAGTGCATAGACAAAGTCTTAATTGGCTGCTTCTGGCTCATATCTTCCATTGTGTGCATGTGTAGACATGTGTAGATCAAACTGGCCTCTAAAATTGTTTTGAATATTGAGAAGCAGTATGCTTTTATTTTTATATCCATAAGGGAAATCCAAATTCTATTTTCACATAGAGGTGAGAACTTTTTGAATACAAGGCTTTCATTAGTTACGAAATAATTTCACACTAGCTTGCAAAAACCTCTTTTTCAAATTTGCAGGAGTGGTGAAGGGAGTTATTGTTATTTTCTAAATGCTCCAGAAATAACACATGGTAGTTGTACAATTATGTCCGTCAAGTATTTTGCCAGTATTTGTTTATCAAACAAATCTTATAAGATTTTATTGGTTGAAAAATACGTATAGGATTTAATTTCTATAGACCTCTTTATGTACATTGTGTACCATAGTTAAGAAGGAATAATTCTTAACTTATAGCCATAGTGACTTTTGTCTCTTTGTGTCCAAGCACCACATTGAGAATCAGGCTGGAATAAGAACTCATTCAATAAATTGCACAACACTGTTGATAACTTATCAGGTTTATTGAGTATAAAAAGAAAAAATAAACTGGTGAATAAAATATCCTTATATCAAATGCCTAGTGCCTTGTTACACTAGTGGGCTAACCACTAGGTCATTTACATATCTTTCTTTTTTTCTCATCAACCCATGAATTTGGCTTCATTCAATCTTATTTTTTTTACAGAATACCAGTATCTACATTTTTGACCACATTGCGACTGTAACTATTGATGATTGTATCAATTGCAATATTTTCTTGGGACCTGTCAAAACGAGGTAAGAAAACTTTATTCAGCATAACAAAGTGAAGTTAAAGGATGTTTCCTAATAAAACTGGTTTTTGCAAGCAACAAGTCAATAACTAAACTGATTTACCACCAAAAGCATTCATTATATCCAACATAATTTTAAGAAAACAAATGAGATTTCTGAACATTTATTATCTCCCTTTTGAATTTCATCTGGACTTTATTAATCATTCATTACCAGTTTTCCTCGAGCTTTTAGTATTTGTGAAGAAAAAAATTTGTATAAACTAAGAATTAAAATAGAATGAACAAATTAGACAGACTCAGATTATAGTGGGCACATTATCAGAACATATTCTGTTAATTAATCACTTCCAGGCAAAATAAAAATGTCTTTTTTATTGAAAAATTATAAAAATACGATATCCCCATTGAGTTAAAATTTAAAACAGAATTTAATTCATTTATAATTTACAAAGATAAAATCTACACAGTATTTAAAACATATATCAAATTATTAATCTTAAAAAATTTCAGCATTTAAGCATGTAAAATTTTTATGTTAGAAATTTTATACTCTATAAGTAATACACTTTCAAATAGTCATTTTTGGATGAATTGAATATTTTTACAAGGTCAAATTTTCATGACCTCAATCTTCCACAAGGTATGAGAGATGTGGGTTCAAATTTTACTGACAGTTTATCCTTTATTTCTGAGTTGCACTCTCTAATCACTGTTGTAGAATTAACAGTCTGAATAAATTCATAATAAAAAGCAAGACAATTACAATTTATAATTATTTACATTATCTAATAGAAAATGATGAAAGTAAATGCTAACAAAAATTAGTAATAATGGCTGACAATGCTTCATCTAATAGAAAATGATGAAAGTAAATGCTAACAAAAATTAGTAATAATGGCTGACAATGCTTCATCTAATAAAAAATGAAGATGAAAGTAAATCCTAGTCAAAAATTAATAATAATGGCTGACAATGCTTCATCTAATAAAAAATGAAGATGAAAGTAAATCCTAGTCAAAAATTAATAATAATGGCTGACAATGCTTCATCTAATAAAAAATGAAGATGAAAGTAAATCCTAGTCAAAAATTAATAATAATGGCTGACAATGCTTCATCTAATAAAAAATGAAGATGAAAGTAAATCCTAGTCAAAAATTAATAATAATGGCTGACAATGCTTCATCTAATAAAAAAAAAAAATGATGATGAAAGTAAATATGAGTCAAAAATAAATAATAATGGAGAACATGTTCAGCAACTTTCTGGATGAACCTGACCTTTTCCAAAATTCCTTCAACAGGCACCAAAGGCAAATGAATGTTAAAACTTATGGCTTCTAACAACATGATACCAATTTTTTTCTCATTATCTTGTTGCAACTGTTAAAGCAAGTTGTATGATGTACAAATACCTACCCTAACTCATCAACCTCAGTTTGACAATAATTTTCACGTTGTACAAAGCCCATGAACCACTCAAGGTAGAGGGTTACAGAGTAAGAGGTAAAAGGCACAGTTATGGGGATATGTGGGGAAGATAATGAATCACTCTTGAACAGGTTAATAATGTAGTTGTCATTGCAACATCCTCTTGGGAGTTGGTTCCACAAATTAATGCTTCATGGGAAGAAGCAGTTTCAATGGAATTTACATCTCACCAATAGAATATGAAAGGAATGAGGTTGATTTAGTATGATGTACATGGTAATGTGTGTCTTTGCCATGACGGTTAGATTGTGAACTCTATAATTCTTTTCAAAGCTGTATAGTATGTGCTTTGTTATGGCTATATACAGTTTTGACTTCAGAGTTATCCTTCTCCTATACTAGTTGCCAATTATGGTTTGAGTGCCTAATCTGGCCTACTATTAACCCATAGCTGAAGGTAGAAGAGAAGGGTATTTGCATGAAAGTGAATGTAACAAAATTGACTGGAATTTGAATTTGGCTTGCCAATTTCTTGGCTCCTAACCATTACATTGTATGCATCCATAAGGTATGAATAAAGTATATTTCTATGAAATTTGAATTCATTAAATTATGACAGATTTTCAGGCTCTGGGATGAAATTTCAGATCTTGTTCAAAGTAACATTTTTATTAGTATTTCTCACTAATTATTTGCTTCCCAGTCAACTTTGACCTTCAAAAATTTAAGTGCAATGTCTATTGTTATTGTTGTGGATTCCAAGATGAAATCCTGTCTCCAATGAATGACAAATGTAGGAATGAAATATAACAAATAAATGTATTTACACAATAATACAATTGGTAATACGGTTAGTAGATCCAGGAACACGGTTAGTAGCAAAAATAATATCTATATACAGTCTGGTAAATCCAGTCTCGAAGTAGGACTTCCTTAGAGTCTACATGCTTGTAATTGTGACTTCTACAAGCGGTTACCTCACACTATTACTCTACCTCCAACTCAATCTCAATCTCTGACTGACTCTGGGTATTTAACAGCAGCGGTCTAAGTACACACTGGTAGAGTCCACTTGTATGAAAAAGGGGTGGAACCCATAACAGTTATATTCTGTCTTAATTCTTGTTCTTAAATTTACCCATTGCATTCCATATATAGATTGAATTGTTTCAAGTTGGAATTCTTAATATTAAGTATTCAATCTGTTCATACACAAAATATTTTTTTTACTTTTAGTAAATTTAATGCTGAAAAAAATCATACAGGAAATAACATTCTATAGATTATGCTGTGATAAAAAGAAAAATGTAAAACCATTCCCTAACAACATCATCTACAAACACACCCAGTGATAGTCCTAGGGTTGCTGGCTCCCTAGGCAAGCTGAACTTCAGCACTATTACAAGCATAGTTTTTTTTAAATTTTCACAAGGAGAAAAATTGAAAATGTAGAATAATGAGTTTATTACAATATACAACTTAATACAAGCTAAAGAAAATATTCATTATCCTACTTAAAATAGTTTTTTCTAGCTTTTAGATCTTCAAATTTTTTCATGACACTTTCTGCCTCTATCTTCTTTACAAGATCATTTTCTATTGAAAAAATAGCCAAAGAATTTAATCTATCTTGAGTCTTGGACGACCAGAAGTATGTTTTTATAAGTTTTAGTTTTGGAAGATTCCAAACACATGACATGGCAGCATGATAGTGTCCCTGATAATTCCGTGGGCTGTTTGTCTTTCTGATTTGCCGAAACATTGTGATAACAATGACAAAGTTGAGGACAATACTCCAAATGTAAATAATGAAAATAATGTCAGATTAAAAATACAAAAAATCCATTAATTTCTTACAAATTTGTTTACATTTTTTATATAAAAATAAAGTTAGAACTTATGAAAATGTACATTCTTTAAAGGTTAATTGAAGCTTGTACTGAGAAGCTCTCTGGGAATCTTGCGAGATTGTACATTTTGTTTATTAAGATTCGAATATACATGTGAGTAGACATAATTCAGGCTGTTTAAAAAAACAGGGCGTTTACTCTAACATGTGCATCTACTAAAATATAATGTTTAAAGTAATAAGATTTACTGTAATGTAGCATTTGGTTTTCTTTGTCTAACCTGAAAGTGAGGACAGGATTTCTTGCATTGTTGGCCAGCCAAAGTCCCTCTTATATTCAGTGCTACTCTGTGAAACAAAACAAGCTGCATGCATCATAGCAAAAGGTCACTCTCTTTAGATATACAAGTTGAGTGTCCACTGATGGCTAGAGTGTTTGTTGTGGGTCCTTGTTAGAAGGTTGTTTGCCTGGAAAGGTGAATGTCAGTGCTATTGACATTCTAGAAACAAAGCAAAGAGGAAATGCTCGGAGATTTGTTTCTGAAGATTGTCTCAGCAGTTTGGAGGGGGAAGGGAGCAAGTTGTTTATAAAAATGAATTCTATTCTTGTAGATACATTATATTCATGTACAGTATGCAGCAGAAATACCTCCTATGTAATGGTAAGACATTAGTGGCAATGGAGTTTTTATCTAGCTAATGTCTTACCATAATATAGGTATACATGAATATGAAAGACAAGGAAAATTTGATTAATTTTTTTTTTTTTTATTTAGTTTTTACAACATTCTTACATTGTTCTATTTGGGAGTAAGAGAGTGCAGAAACTGCCCATTGTCACAAGAGCTTAAATAAAAAAAAATATATATTTCTTAAGGACAATCACAGGGATACCATCAAGTCTGCATGCTTTGTGGGGATCCAGTTGAAAGAGGATATTAGAAACTATAAAGAGAGTTATATGCTAATCACTTAATAGAGACTCAGTTCTAAATGAAAAGTCAGGCAAGATAAATCAGGAGTAGAATTTGAAGAAAATTTACAAGCAAAATATTCTGCTTTATCAACAGAAAATGTTTAGTGAAGAGAGGAGGGATAGATGACTATTTAACACACTATTACTGAATTGCCAGTAGTCATGAGAACCAAATTTGTTAGAGGCTATACGGTGTCTCAGTCTATCGGTAAACAAAGACTTAGCCACTTTGAGGATACATTTACAATTACTTCAAGCAGTTACAAAGAAGCATCTGTTGTGATCAAAACTATCACACTGGTACACTTGGAAAAGTGATTCCTGTGGGCTATAGCAGCTGAACAGGCCAGTGTGAACTAAGAAGATTGTGGTTTCACTTGGTATTTCTGAGATGGCATGAAAGCATCGGTGCCAGCTTTCACCCAAGAAGAAATCTCAGTGACACAATTTTCAATGGAAAGATAAGATTTCCCTGCAAAAGGTATTGCAAAGAAAATTGTAAAATGAATCCCAATCAGTGTATTGGTAACAAAATGATATCTTGTGAATAAGGAAGTCTTGCCTAATAGATAAGTTGAGAGAGGTATCTGCATATACTACTGAGAGATCTGAGTTGCCCAGAGGACAGTGTTACAAAGCATGACAAGATTCCAGAGAGGAGATGAGGAACAGATTGAGTAAAGAAGTTTGTCCATCAGAAATACTAGGGAAACGAGTTGGGAAATCTTCTATTTGAGTGAGAGATTG